GTCAGCCACAAATAAATTTCCCCTCTGGTAGGCTGAATTTCCCATGGAAAAATGTCACACACTCAAGATTTTTATAATTCCGGGTTTATTATAGATTTTCTTAGAATGAAGTTGGACTATAGTTTGTTTCCTGCTAGCCTTTCAACAAGCAAACATTATTTAAAATCTTAATTAAAACTGCTTTTTGTTCCACATTTCTCCATTTCATGGTCAGGAGGGCATACTAGATCTACTTAAGTGTTTACTGTTAAGTTTATGTGTGAATATAACAGTTCTGTTTAGCTGACAAATACTCATTTGGGATTTACTTTGATTTAGACATTATTGTGAGAATTTCACGTTTTCATACCTCTGACACATCCACATCCACCCGGTTCCTTCCACTAAGTCTTCATGGAAAACACTGATCTAGCAGTGACTGAACGTCCCTGGGGAGTAAGATATGCAAACAAACGCTTCCAGGTTTCTAACAGCTCTTCTGGTTTTTCAGTTGGTGCTGTTTATCCTCTTTGCACTTGGAACAATGCAGTGAAACCAGCCAGTTTCGCTGTCTAAGGTGTAGCGTGGTCATACTGTTTTATTCAAGTATCTGACAATGCTGACAATTCAAACAAATATATCCAGGCCCAAATGTTAACACTTGTCTGATTGTTTTTAGTGGGGTGGGAGGATGGGTGAGAGCCAAATGCTTATCTTGCATGTGAGCTGCTTGGCCTTGCAACTTCTGTAATTCTCTCAATTTCTCCTGGCTGCTTTAGAGGAAGAAGTGGGGAAAGAAGGGACAGGAGAGAAGAATTGTAGTGTATGGGAAAGAGAAAGGAGCTGGTCAGTGTGAGTTTCTGGCTGCTGACCTTTTTCTTTCCTTCTAACAATGAATTAAACTTCTAGTCTAATAATGTTTAACTTGTTAACAATTTTTCTATTTTAAAAGTGTAAGAGACTTGACTTTTTTTAAAAGAACTTATCAAGATGGGGAAAACCAGAAGTAAATTCCTCAGCTTGCCAGGCTGTGCTTTTACTTTGCTCAGAGGTATTACTCAGAGGTTAAAATGGTAAACTTCCTTCTATTTAACTCAGCCAGAACTGGGTTTTGTGAAAGCACCCTTTTGTATGCATAGTATCTGGAGTCTGCAAGTAGCATGCAGTCGCTTGTATGGCAAGAATGGGCTGCATCTATTTCTTCTGGGGGGAAAAGGTCCCTCTTAATTTCTTTGGGTGAAAGCTGGAACTTCTTTGTTACTAGCTCTACATGAAAGTTTTATTTGAGTTATTTGCAGCAGAATTCTTACACTAAAGCAAACATCTGCTAGTTTTGTTATGTTTAAAAAAAAGTGTGGAGGATTTAGTGCAGTATGTAGTATGGAGGTGAGCAGCCTTATGAAAGGAGACTTGAGTTTGTCTCCCCACGCATCACACGGTATCCCTGCCCAATGCTGCTCTGTCCAGCTCACCTGTGTTCGTGCATTAGTATGGCTTAGCTAAAGCATTTAGACTTCAGATGATTATCGGTATCCAAAACTGTGGGTAATCTTTGCTATCTCTGGAACATTGTAAACCAGTTTCCCATAGTCTGGCTATAGATCTTGCAAAGGAACATAGATGAATGTTTATTGGCAAAGCAGAAGGGTTATAGCCCAGGTAAAAACAAAGGGAGAAGAGTCAACAGGATGTCTGTTGTTTGATCTAGACTGTTTTTGGGATGTTCGCTATTTTTAAGCATTCTTCCTGTGAACCTTTTTGAACTCCCTCTCTGCTGAAAATTCCTGAGAAGGGCATGCAGTTGCGGATGCTAAAAATCCAGGTATTTTCCTCTGTTAATACAGCATACTGTAGAAAAACATTTGCAGCTTTTCAGTTTACAGAAGACTGCTCATCCCTTTTGTGTGATTAAGTGAAACTGATATTTTCATGCTGAGAGGAAGTGTGATATAGCTTGTACAGCCAGTGCTCAAGAACTAGGGTTTATTTTAGGCTGTACTGATTCTTGATGTGCAACTATGAGCCAATCTTAATGGAAAATACCTGCCTTGCAAAGTATTTCCTGTGTCTGTTGAATAGGTGTACCAGGCTCAGCACTGTGACTGTTGGGTGGGACCTGGTATTTGGAAGGAGATCTTGCCTTCCTGGATTGTTATCACTATAAAAGTCTGGTTTTTAAAGCTGCATCTGTGACTTTAACTTGAAAGTATCATTGCAGTTCAGTAGCACTTTATTCTTGTTTAGTCATTTCAATAAGCAGCTGCTGATCTGAATTTGCACTGTTGAGTTCCGAGCTGAAAATACAGATGTTGGAAATCCTAAAAGGTGCTCAATACTTCTGACTTTTTGTAAATTCTCCAAGTGTTACATGTGCAGCAACTTCATGAGCAGGCCATGAGATTATTTTTTTAGACATCTAAAAGACCACCACCACTGAATGTCCATAACCATGCCTGGCAGGTTCATGAGCTTATGACGGATAGCAATTATCCTATTACCCTAGAGGTGTCCCATCCTGCATTCAGATCCCATCATGTAGTTTTCTGTGACCTGGGATCTGAGACTTCTCTCATGTGCACTTGATTTAGTACAATGTTCTTTACTGCCGCTCTGGGAACTTCTTGTCATATGTGTTGCCATCTTATGAATTGCTGCCTCTGTCAGCAGAAGTCTGGGAATGACAGTTCATATCAAGAGAAGAACTGAGTGACGAGTCTCAGAGAGATCCTTTCCCTTTTAAAAGAAGGGCAATGAGGAAAAGCAGAATTGAGGGACTTTGAAGTAGAACATTTTATCGTGGCAAGTTAAAAAACTTATTTTAGAAGTTAAAAGTATAATTGATCTTTCAAAATAGATGCTGTGGATAAGTCCAGTGTGGCTTTAGTGAAGAATGGTAGTGGCTGTTGTGAGTTAGTCTTTGCGTCCTGTTTTAGAGGGCTCTAGTCTGCAGTGGTGTTCTGTGAGGGAGCAGGAACACACTTTTGTGTTTAGCTGTTTGCAACAACACTTGAAAGTCGTGGGTTTCTATGCATAAAAGTTCAACTGCTGAGCTATCAAAGGAGTTTTGTCTTCATTTTGATACATTATCTACTTTGTAAAGATGAGGGATCTGCTGCATTGTACTCTCCTGCATGTGCAGAGAGGTTTGAGTGTTGGTTTTTTTTTTTGCTTTTGGAGAGGGGTTAGTTTTATTTCCCTGTTACTGAACATTAGGTACAGCTTATTCTAGAAGTAGAACAAATCCACTTTGGCATGTTCTGGCATGACTGTTCTTGTGTTCCTCCTTTCCCACAGTTTTTAGCATTGGCATTTTTTTTCATTTGTTTGTTTAGAAGCAGAAAGCTGCAGAATGTAAATAACTGTTCTATGCTTTAAGCCTCCCAGATCATAGGTTGAGCTGATTGAAGCCAGTTTGCTAAGGCTAGTGGAAAAAGATCTTTGGAATGTGTAGTATATATTTAATTCCTTAAATTCAGCTTCTGTGCACTGATCCATGAAGTCTGTGAATGTTTGGGTATTGAATTTAAAGACAAACAGAGATTGTTCAGCAAGTACAGATGCTTTGTAGAATGTTTTTTGCAGCAAAAGCAGCCTGAAGGTCCTCTCAAGTCAATATTGGTTTATGAAATGGTAGCAGAACAGGCATAGTGGTGTTGGATTAAGGGCCAGAACAAACCTATTATTCAAAGACCGATGTTAATATAGATGTGCTCAAACCTAACTAGTGCTGTCATTGGATGTAGGACCATTACCTGTGCCTGAAGAAGAATTCTCATTTAAATCCAGCTTTGATTATGTAAAAAGTTAAATTGTAGTTGGTTAAAATTGTGGGGGTTTTTTAAGAACGCCAGGGTGACATGGAACCCATGGAATTAATAATTACGAGATGACTTGAGTTGATTGGAGAATTTTAATGCTCCTGTAATGTCGAATTACAGCATACTTGAAAACAATTTGGTTTTAGTCTTGAGGTGAACGTTTTCAAGATGGTGCTGTTGTGAATGAGGACAAGAGCACTCATACTTTAAAGTTAAGCAGAGTTGTCTGCTTCTGTTTTTGAAAAGTGGCAGTTATCATAGTGTGGGCTGGGGGAATGTTTTAAACTGGAGGCTTGCTTGATAGGCTTGGGGCTTCTCTTGCTTCTCTCTTGCCATCCAGGAAGGGATGCAGACAGGCTTTTTCTGTAAATACATGTTCCGGTTCCATTAAGTTTTAGCATTTAAGTACGCATATCCTTCGTTTGAGACCTTGTTGTCTGGAAGGTCAAGACTTGGTGTATCAGACTTGGTCCATTGAGTATGTGCTGTCTGCATCTCTGAGTGGATTACTCAAAGAGAGATGCAAGGTGGTTTCTGTTGGTACAGCACTGCCTGACTTGATGCCTCTTAGAAGTACGTTATATTAGGCCTCAAGTTCTGCAGGCCTGACTTAGTTAAAAATTACTTTTTGATATGCGGGTCAAAAGAAAAAAATCCGTTCCTCACTCCCAAACAGATGTAACTGTATTGTCTCATAACTGTGTTACCTCTGCCTGTGGTAAGATGAGTTAAAGTTAGTAAAATCATACTGAGTTCATCGAAGGGTTAGGTCTGTCAGCAAACTGACACTGCTCACATGCTGTTTCAGACCGCTCCCTTTTAGTAGTCCAGCAGCACTTGTACAGGCTTGAAAACACACACAAAAGCAGCAATGTCTTGTAGTGTACCTACAGCACTGGGATCATTGGTAGAAGCATCCGCTTGAGTGGTTCAGGTGCTGCGGTTGAGGGAATACTTCCACCCTGTTTTTGTAAAGGGAATTACTTTATCCTTTTACCTAGTTGTTGTGAAAAATTGGAATTCACTTGTTTTTTTTTTTTTTTTTCTCCTTAGTTAATAGGAATAATGAAATGCTGGAGAAATGTAATTTTATTATTCTAGAGTGTGTATATCCTTGGGAATTTTCAAGTGAATTACAAGTTTTTGCTTTTGCTATGGTTCCCAGTCATTCATTCAGTTACGTTATGCATTCTCCATTTCTAGATACCTGCTCGAACAAGACTTTCCAGGCATGCGGATTGGTCCAGAGCCTACCACGGATTCTTTTATTGCTGTGATGTATGGAGATACAGAAGGAAATGTTCCTGGAAATGCCCTAGTTGTTGATCCTAAGAAGCCGTTCCGCAAACTCAGCCGTTTTGGAAATGCTTTCCTGAACAGGTGAAATCTGTTTGCTTTCCGTCTTTTCATTTTTATGTTTAAATTTCTACTTGATACCATCTTCAAGCATCAATGTTTTTTTACTAAGTTTTTTCTGCTGTATTTGTTTTGAACAGCATGGAATAAATATTCAAATACAAGCAGAAGCAGTGGCAGTTCAAGTGAATTAAAAAAAAAACAAAAAAACCAAAAAAACCCAAAAAACCGTGCTAGGTAGGTAGTACTAGCATAGAGCTGTGTACACTTGAAAAAACTTTAAAAAAAAAAAAAAAAAAAAAAAATCTAAAAAGGTAAGGAGTGTTTATATATATTCAGTTATCAGAACAGAAAATAATTGTTAAAACCAGTTCACAGAAAACTGCTGAAACGCTCCACCAGCTAACTTGTTTGTAAGGCATTACACCAGCTGGAACTCAAGATCAGTTTGGGCACAAATTTCCCTGCTCAGTAAAACCGGTAGATTAGTACTATTATTAAAAACTACCATCCATCAAAGGAAAAGATCTTTTCCCTTTGATGCTGTCTTGTTCCTTTATGCTGAGGTCTTGGTATAGCTCTTTAAAGTTGTGAATTGCTGGGATATGTAAAAAGGCCTGCAAGAATGGAGAATATTTGACTATGCCTTCTGGATAAAGTACATATTCAGGCTGTTAAGTGTTTAGTTTTAACTAGCTGGTCTTCAAGCAGTCCTATAGACCAGGATGATAGCGTTAGCTTCTGGATGGCTGCTGGGTATTTGCAAAAAAGGAGAGGGATGTTCAGGGGCTGTGAATATCGCCATGGGTAACTTAAGTAGCAGGCTAAATATTTCCAGTTAAAAGTTATTAATAACTTTGTTCGCATTGTGTGAGCAATCACCTTGTTTTCTTCCTGTATTTGATGGTGGCTTGACATGGAGGCCTGGATTTGCAAGCCAATTAATCTAAATTGGTTCTCCTTTAACAATAAACTTTCCTGTTTGGCCGATAAACACTGGCATATGTGTTAAAAGTTCGTCATGTACAGTCTTATCTCTCGCTGTGCTTATTCACAGAAGAAAGTTTATGGCTGCTTATAGTTGGCTTGGTTATCACTTTGCTGAGAGATAAGAATATGTGCTGTGGGAAGCTGCAGTCAAGTCCCATTTTAAATTAGGGCTCCGAGACCCCTTTCTGTGAGATTATTGGCTAAGTCTTGTCCTCTTCCCTACCATTGTGGTCTCTATGAAAAGTTAATATAATTATACCATAAATAGGATTTTGCACAATATTCAAATAGTGACACAGAACAGGTAATAATATTAAATGTTTGTTTGGATGAATGGGTTACATAATTTTTTGGCTAAATCATCTGTCTAGCTAGTTGTGTCAGATCCTAAATCTTAGGCAAGCAAGATTATTTGCTAGCTACCATTGTGGTCTCTATGAAAAGTTAATATAATTATACCATAAATAGGATTTTGCACAATATTCAAATAGTGACACAGAACAGGTAATAATATTAAATGTTTGTTTGGATGAATGGGTTACATAATTTTTTGGCTAAATCATCTGTCTAGCTAGTTGTGTCAGATCCTAAATCTTAGGCAAGCAAGATTATTTGCTAGCTGAAAAGACATACGTTCAAAGTAACCAGCTAAATTATTCCAGTTCTTTTGGTGACTGTGGTGGTGTTATATTGCAGTGCTGTAAGCAACCTTATCTTCCCCAGCATTCACATTTGCTCCTTAGTTTTGCAGCAGAGATCGAGGTGGTTATATTCCCCTAGCACCACGCTAGGGGAATCATATTGCTGCTTTTTTAAAACTCATTTCGCTTCGCTACTTTACCTAGTTGAAGATGTCTTAGGCTTTATTTCATTATCTTTGAGTAACTTCTCCCTGTCCTCTTTACCTGCGGTCATACTACATATTTTGCTTGCCTTCTCTCATTTGCCATACTGGCAGTGACAGTGCTTTATACCCAATATTACATTTTTCACTCCTGCCTTAATAAATTTCTCTCTACTTCTCTCTCCCCCTCACCCCTGCTTGCCTTTTTTTTTTTAATGATTTCACAATCCTAGTGTTTTGTTTTGTGGAAAGACTTAAGGTATTACTTTTACGAGGCTATGGACACTAAGACCGTGAAGTCAAGTGCCCTTTTCATCTAAATGTAAGATGAAAGGAAACAGTGACTGAGGTAATGGAGAAACTTAAACCAAATGAGAACATGGTAGCACAATCAAGGCTTGTACTTACTAATTAGCTGCATTAATTTATTGATGTTACCTTGCCTCTTTTTTCCATGACCCCTTCTTATTTCCCCCCGTATCTCACTGCTTGTGATAGATGTCTTTGTAAGGCTCCTAAGTGTAGAAACTTGTGCCTTATTTCTCTTGCATACTTTAAAGGAAAGTTGGGGGGGAAGGGGATGGGGACAGGACCTAGTGTGCCTTGGATGCTGGGTAAAGTAACTGAGGAAAGAATATTGCAGTATACCAGAAGATCACGGAAATAAATTGGTGCTGCTGAGAAGAAACACATGGTCCTGCTCTATTCTAATGGATATCTGAATTGACACCAAAAGGAGTATAAATTCTTAATAGATTCTTTGAGTCATCCAAAGTTAATCTAAAAAAATTAATAAAATCAACAGATGATTTTAAGGTTGTTGATTTCATTTTTGCAAACAATGTAACTTATTTTTGCAAGAATAGTCTAATATTGCTGGTTTTCTTTAACAATAGTTATATGATAATACGAAAAACATGACAGTATCAAAGGTCTAATGTGTCATAATCAGTTACAGTCATCTCATTCGCACAACTATTTTTGTAACGCTTTTTTTGTGAATGTCTGTTGTCATTTAGGTAGGTAGTATGTAGTTTTGCTTTTTATGATGCAGCACTTAAAATCACACTTCATACAGGTCATGTAAGAAATAGTGGTTCAGAGCCAAGTCTCAATGTTGAAAAGACATATTCAAATACAGTTTTAAGTTGTCTGAAATACTAGTTTGATGTAAGATTTTTAACCTATCTGTTGTCTTTAGATTATGGATATATTCTAAAAGCTACAGCCAGTTAATTCTGAGTTTATCCTTCTATTTCATATCCTTTTCCTGCATACTTTCCACCTTACTTTGCCACTAATGACTGCTGCGAAGACTGCAGTGTCTTTACATTTCTGAGGCCTGTAGTTCTCTATCTTCTTGCACGACCTTTTCCAGCTGTCCCAGTTCGGGTGATGCCTAAGTCAAAATACTGCCGTATTGTTCAGCTGAAAAAATGGTGCCCGTCTTCCCGTAAGATAGGCCTAGAAACATCTCAGTGATACTAAATGAGTACTGAACTTTCTAAGGTTGAAATAAAGTGATAAGAAAAAACATATATGAAAATTCAGTCTTCACGCTTCCAAATTTATGAAAGCTACTTCATGTTGTACATCCTAATGTTGTATTTTTTTTGTAATGATTGACACGGTCAAATGTATTTTCTTTGTTGCTTATGCACATCCACTATGCTTCTACAAAATGTGTTTGCTTTAACCTAGTGTCTCCTTTAGGTTTTGGAAAGTTCAAAAAATGTTATGTTATTCAATAGCATCTCTTAAGCTACTAGAAAATTAGCCTGAGAGGAAGAGTTTGCTTCAGATAAGCAGTATTTTTTACAGCTGGTGTTCCACTTAAAAAAACCAACGAAGGGTAGTGCTGGTTACATAACCTAAGGTTTTATCAGGCCAAGATGGCTGCTGTTTCTTTATCCCCTCTTGGGTTTCAGGGAGAGGCGTAGGTGATGCTGCCGAATCTGTTGTACCCCAGAAGGCACGCTGTGTGCTTTTGTTACAGACTCGTTACTACAAGGTCACCTTGAAAACAAAGTGAAGCGAGGTGTAAGGATTTTTTTCTTCCTGATTTCCTTTGAATCATCTGGATTGTTATCTGTACAATAGCTTCCAAATTTTGATATATCTTACATTTTGTATCCGATATTTGACTGCCTGAACTCTTTCTAACTCAGATTATCTTTGGTCTTAAAGTTCTAGTTTGACCTTGGCACGGTTAAAATTCGCTGTCCTGCGATCCCTGTTTCTTGAGGTGGTGTGCCTTCTAAAGCGATGGGTTAACGCAGGGCGGCCATCTTACAGCCTGAGCCTGCAGCTTACCCCTGTGCGAGGCTGCCTCTGGGCAGCTTCACAGGAGGAGGGTAGGTTACGTTGTGTGCTTGTTAGTATGGTCTTCAGCTGCTATCCCATAAGAAGATTAAACTCTTATGCAAATCTCTTAAAGGCAGTTGATGATGAAGGGAGGTGAAGTTCTTCAGTCGTGAACTATCCCAGAAGCATCGGAGTAGTTTGGATTTAACACACGCAGTGTTCTGCACTACTCTCAGAGGCCTCGTGAATTATTTATTTTTCGTAATACCACCATTGAATTTGTCTCCTGTCGCAGAGGCAGGAGGTTATTGTTTAAAGCCTGCTGTGTGTAATTTGAACTCTTGGTTCTGGCAGTGTGAAAGCTTTTGCTTGTTTTCTGGGAGAAATACTGTTGTTTTCAGTTCTCCGCAAGCCCCACCTAAGGAGGGTGGTGGGTTAGAGACGGGGACGGTTCAAACACCGCTGGAGCAGGTGGGAGGGTGACTTGCTAGTGACTGGAATATAAGCATATCGTCTGTATGGCTTTCTCCCTGCTTCCCTCTTCTTTTGAATCTCTTTGAATTTGGGCAAAAGTTGGAGTACATGAGGAATTGTTTCTTGTGTATACTAATTCTGGTCCTAGCAAGATGTTTGTTTTATGGAGTCTTTTTAATGTTGCATATATGGCCCAGCTTGTCAGCTCTTGCAAAATTTGGAATTTTATCAGCACTTAGACATACAGTTTTACAAGATTTTCCTGTGTTTTCCTTCTTAAGAGAAGCTCTCTGTTTAGACTTTGTAATCTTAAACAGGTATGGTTGCCAAACATGGGGGTTCATTAGGACTACAGAAACTTTCTTTTTTTTTTTTTTTTTTTTTTTTAAAATCTCACTTGAGTCTTTCTAAAAGCAGATACATAAAGGGGAGCTCTCAAGGGACAATCTACATGTGAGCTAGAGCTATTGTTAATGTTTTTTTTTTCCTCCTTTCTTCCAGGTTCATGTGTTCTCAGTTACCTAACCAGGTACTGAAGAGCATCAGTATCATCGACAGCCCTGGCATTCTCTCTGGAGAGAAGCAGCGCATCAGCAGAGGTGAGCTGCAGGGCTTGAAAATAACTGAGCTCACTATTTTTTGCTGTACTGGACAAATCATCATCCTAATCTGTTGGGGGCCTGTTGTAGTGGTATTGACTGGTGGTGTGTCCCAAACTTTCTTACTACAATACCTATTAAACCCATGTTTTAAGGTTGGATGTAGGGTTTGGAATTTTTTCTTTTGAAAACTGGTGGGGTTGGGATTTCTATCATCCTACTGCTATGGCTGCAAATGGCTATGGTTGCATGGTCTGTTGACCAATTAGTGCTTTGACACTACTGAGAAAAAGTCTTATTTCCATCATATTAATTGCTTTCCACAAAGTTGAATAGACTCTTATATACTATTGAAGTTCATGAATGAAGAAATGTTTCATAATAGCTATAGCTCTTCAAGCTGGTCATGTTTAAAAACTGAGGAGGTTGGGCTATAAATAAGGTGCTTTTATTGTAGGCACAGCTGCTAGTGTTGCTTCTTAAGGTTGCTCAGTCGTGCCATAATATAATTTTCAGTCAAAAGAGTTAAGGTAGCAGGAGGAAGAGGGAATGAGAATACTTTTAATAAAATGAAAATTCTGTAAAGAACTGAACCCTGTTTGTAACATGCTGTTTAAGAAATTAGCCTGTCTTTGAGAAACTATTAAAACAGCATAATGTAAATAACTTTCTTCCTTGTTTCCTTCAGCTGCATTTAAGTGCATGTCAGATTTCTGTGGAGTTGTAAAAGGTAGTGATCTAGCTGCCCTCTACTTTCAGACCTTTGCTTAAGAAACGGAAACTTGCGTGTTTCATGGGAGGGGAAATAATCAGTTCTTTAACATATCACACTTAGGATTTTTTGAGGAAATCCTGGAATGAGCACAATATATGGCAGCTGTGCAACTATTGTCTTTACATTGCACTGACAGAATAAGAGACTAACTTCTTCGGACTGTAGTCTAAACTATACTTGCTTAGTAAACTGGTCCACTAGATGTTTCTGGATTCTTTGTTCAGTGACAGAATGTGGTGGTTTTGTCCTCTTTATTGCTCATACACTCACGTAAAGCATTCATCATGGGGAGAGAGCTGTGTTTTCCTATATGTGATGTATTGGTCAACCAGTAGAGATGAACAGCACGAGTGCTCTACATCTGTGCAAGCAAGGCTTGAATGTTGTGAAACTAGATCAGTAAAACAAATACTGCATGTTGGCACTCTTACTTCCAGGCAGAAATAACCAAGTGTATAACTAATGATCTTTAATCCTGGAAAGTGTTCTCATAAGATGTACACAAAATGTTTAAGTCTCAGTTTACACAGAGTCTCTGATAAAATCAAAAATGGTCTTAAATATCCTACTTCTGCTTCTCCGTTGTGGATTCCAGCTCCCTTTTTCCTCCACCAAGAAAAATTAGGCACATCTTTCTCCCTCTCTGCTTGTTAAATCAAGGGAAAATAGTGCTTGGCAGCATTCAAGTATCTGTTGCCACTTTCATAACAGTATGGAAGTGAACATGAAATAAGCAGAAAACTAGAGCATCATATTAATATGCCACTGAAAAAGTGAGCAATTGTGTGACAAAATTCAACACCATTAGGGATGCTGTGGAAGTCCCAGACTTCATGCGTGGGACAGAGTTGTGTTTTACTCCAGGTTATGTTTTACTGGTAGTGCTGTGTTGCTTAAAGAACCATGGCTCTTCACTGCCATCTAGAATTGCTCTTGTGACTTAACAAAACATATGACTGTTGTTCCTTTATTGTTCAGAAACTCCGTTTCTTGATGGTATGTGCCTTATCAATTGTTTTTATGGCCTAGCTGGCCTGCCCTTTGGTATGGTAGACTTTCACCTAAATTGACACTGGTCAGTGATAACCTCAAACTCTTACCTGTTTCACAGGCTTTAACTTGACTAGTTTGCATTTCATGATTTTTTTTTTCAGTATGTTAAGGGCTGTCTTGAATACGGTTGTCTTGTAAGTTGGCATAGTTCTTTTATTACAAATGTGGTTCTCCTGTATGCTGTTTAGCTTTAACCAGTGTGGTTGTACCATGAATAAGATTTTGGGAGTCAGCTTTCGAGCGCTGTTCTCTCTGTGCCCCAGGCTTGAAGGGCAACTGCTGCCAAGGTTTAAGGTTTCATATACTTAGGCGTCAGCATATATGAAATACCTACAAGTCACTGTATGGACCTATTGCATGCACCTATTGCATGCTTTTATGATTAGGCAATACTGCGTTCACCCATGTCTGAACTATTGCATAGTCAGACTTTTGGGCTGCTTAGGCAGTTTTCATACAGGTGGTTTTGTGGAGTACAAGCTTGACTTGTCCTATGGTGCTGCACACAGCAAGGCCTGTCTGACCTGCTTCCTGAAGGAGTCAGACTGACTTCAACATATTTATGCTACCAGTCTAATTTAGCACGTTTTGAAGTTTGAGTTGCTTAGATTACTTTTTAAATCACTGTATGCAAATGTAAGCAGGATTCCACAAGATGTTTTCTGCTGTCCCTAAATGTGTCTCTGTCAGAGAAGGTCCTATTTGTACACATTCAGACCAACAAAGCATTTTTTGCTGCAAAATGTGTGTTGTTACCCATTAAATTCATTGGCTGCTTCTCACTGAAAAAGGTTGCAGCTTGTGTACTTCGCTATGGGAGCTGCCATTTTCTTTCACTGTGAAGGTGATTACAGACTTAAACATAGGGATGCTTTTCTGTGTGTGCCAGGAAAGCCCTAAATATACAGGGTGATTCTTCAGAATTTCTTTTCTGACCATTTCACAATTTTGTATTTCAAAATTTTATAGTTCAGCAAATTTTTTAGGCTTTTGATTTCTTTCTGTTTTTCTCTTAAACTCTTGTTTTTCTTACGAATCTTGCTGCTATTTTCTAAATAATATATATGAGAAGAGACTTTTCATAATTCAGTAATGGAATATGACATTTAATAACACCTGGTAGTATTCTTAGATGCTTTCTGTTCTGCACATTATTGGTGTCTGTTCATATCTAAGTTCTAAAATTACCTTTCTAGAAGCTTATCATAGAATAGTTTTGGTTGGAAGGGACCTTTAAAGGTCATTTAGTCCAACCCCCCTGCCGTGGACAGGGACATCTTCAACTAGATCAGGTTGCTCAGAGCCCCGTCCAACCTGGCCTTGAATGTTTCCAGGGATGGGGCATCTACTGCCTCTCTGGGCAACTTGTTCCAGGGTTTCACCACCCTCATCGTAAAAAAAATTTCTTCCTTATCTAGTCTAAATCTACCCTTTTTTAGTTTAAAACCATTCCCCCTTGTCCTGTCGCAACAGGCCCTGCTAAAAAGTTTGTCCCCATCTTTCTTATAAGCCCCCTTTAAGTACTGAAGGGCTGCAGTAAGGTCTCTCCGAAGCCTTCTCTTCTCCAGGCTGAACAACCCCAGCTCTCTCAGCCTTTCTTCATAGGAGAGATGTTCCATCCCCCTGATCGTTTTCGTGGCCTCCTCTGGACCCGCTCCAACAGGTCCATGTCTGTCTTGTGCTGAGGGCTCCAGAGCTGGACACATTACTGCAGGTGGGGTCTCACCAGAGCAGAGCAGAGGGGCAGAATCACCCCCCTGACCTGCTGGCCATGCTGCTTTTGATGCAGCCCAGGATACGGTTGGCCTTCTGGGCTGCGAGCGCACATTGCCTGCTCATGTTCAGCTTTTTGTCCACCAGTACCCGGTTTAGCAGTTTCTAACAGTTTAGCTTGTTTCTAACATTGGTGAGCAGCAACTTTTCATATTGGTGATGTTTTAATGTGTTTGATAGAAGAATAACACTACAGGACCTCAGTGTAAAACCTTCACTCCTTGCTGTTGGTGTTTTTTTTCTATCTTCCTGTGAACCACTGCTTCACTATTTACCTATGAATGGATGTAACGCCTGCATAATGATAGAATTTTACAGGTATCACTGAGAGTAAGGTGAAGCCTTCTGAGATCAACAAAGCAATCAAATGTTAACTTTCAGTTTTGAAATGCAGGAAAACAGTAAAGGGACTATGTAAATATACAGGATATGCACTACTTCCCATGTTTTATTTATAACTCTGGAAAGCATCCAGGCCATGGATGAAGGAGCCGATAGCTTTCTGAAGGGTCAAAAATACAGACAGAGTGCAACGTTCAAAGCTGTCTCTCTTGACACACCTTTCCCGCTCCTGTTCTCGGCGGGAGGATGTGCCAGAAGCTTCCTGCCTGTCAGTTCAGGGGCTGCGTAAGTGGCTGGAGGAGAATGTGCAGACGTGTGCCAGCATTGTCCCCAGTCAGACAATGCCCGTCCCTGTGCTCCTTCTGCAGCGTCACTGGTGACATTCACAAAGCCCGTGTCAGACAGAAATGTGTGTATGGTCTGCAAGAGTTGGAAGGAACAATGAGCTTAAGGAGAGGAGGAAGGAGAAGCAACGTCTGGCAGGGTGTGGGGAGGAATTGCTTTTAGAAAGGGAGAGGGGGTTTGACTCATGATTGAGTGGCATGAAGGCAAAGGTTTCAATAAGTATGGGGAAAGAGCTCAGGGGAAAATGGAGGATATTGGTTAGCTTGCATTTTTAGAACTGGAGTTACTTAAATACAGGTAATTGTCTCAGTTGAATCTGGCTTGTGAAAATGTAAGTAAGGTGATGTTGCAGCATTGTGTCAGGCTTTCCCTTGCAGTGGGACACGGTACATTCTCCTTAGGATTGGTCCACCAACAGGAGTGCAGTAAGAGTGTTATCAAGGACTGATGGATTGAGACAGGCTTTCATTAACATAACTGGAAACTTCCACCCTGGACAGCAAAAAGTGCATCTTCCCATGTGGGACTGAGCTCCATTTGAAAAACTGGGAAGTCTAGATGCTCACCTGAAGCAAAGCATTAGAAGAACAGCAGATTGGGCAGGGGGGAAAGGCTGCTCTTGTCCACGTCCAAATTGTGTGTTGTAGCCTTGGTTGTGTGGTACTTAGCAATGGCAGGTGGGATCGCTCCAGCACTCTGCTGACCCCTGATTCATCTGGTAAGTGGGTACTGTTCTCTGAGCTTGGAAGCTCCTCATTGCAGCGTTCGTCTGAGAGGCGCCTCTCTTCTGTGCCAGTAGCACCAGCCCCAGGGGTGGAAGAACTGGACACAGACCTGTCTGTGCTTGTGGAGGGTAGGTGGAGCCCATCAAGCCTCCCTAACTGTTTTCTGAATTGCAAAAGCTTTGGGAGATGGTAGTAGGGCAAGTCAGAAATTATTTACCTTGGGCCCATAAGGGAAAGCCTGCTGTTTGTTTAAATCTTTATTACTAACTGGCACAGAAAATTGACCCACGCTCATACTGCACGATTGTACAGCTGCGTCTTTGAGTATGGCTGGTGGCTGTCATGCACAAGGCTGGTACTTTGCCCAGTGCTAATGACACGTGAGAGCTCATGATTATTCCTCTCACCAGTGTTTCCAGGGCTGGTAACCATGTGCAGTTTCTCTCCAACTTTTTTATCTCTTCCGCATTGTTTCATTTTGTTCTCTTCTGTGGTCTCTGCTCAGCCCGTTACTGATGCCCAACGGCCCTGTCAAAGGCACCAGCTCGCTCCTTCCCTGCGGCTTGGGATGAGCTCAAGAGCTCTGCAGTGCTGCTTTCCTCTGTCCCTTAGCTGGGTATAAGGGTGATTTGTGACTTTCCAATATGCATTTGCACATAGATGTTGTACCTGGTGAGACATAGATCCTCAGGCTGGATGTAATTGCCGACATCAGTCATTGGGAACAAACCTTTGAAGAAATAGCAACAGTAGAGCAGCAAGAGGCTGAGAGGTGTCAACACCAAATTTTTTTGGTCAAGTTTTCAAACTGATCAGTGTTGACCTTGTACTGCTCAACTTTGAAAGCCCTAATCCACACACATGTACTGTATATGACAGGATCCTAAATGCATTGTGTCTCAGTGCTGAAATGTTTAACCATATATCACTTCTCTGTAGTTCAGATATACTCTAATGTGTAATACATTGAATACACTGAATCTGTATATAAAATAGGTTCACTTCTAATGCCAAATTTTCATTCAAATGAATAGATTTTTTTCAGATTTTTTATGAGGTCTTTTTCTTACCCATTTTCAACAAGCGGACTTTTCTTTCTCAAAGCAAATGCTACATTAATATTTAATTCATATTTAAAATAAATTTATTGCTAGTTAACATACACTTGTTGACTGTACAATTGTTTTTACAGTTCAAAATCTATCAAATGTGTGGTGGGAATTTATATATTTATTTAACCAGCCTTATAAGTCACCTTCTCAAATATCCATTTGTGGAAAACTTAATAGAATTAAACTTACTTCATTTCGCAATTTTATGTATTTCATTTCCAGCTTATTTCCTTCTACGTGAGTTCAGGACAGGTTATTGCGTAGCTCAGATTTGTGCACTGTTGCAACTATGTTGCGACATGCAAGTAACATGCAAGATCTCACTTCTCCCTTTCTTTCCTGCTAAAGTTTTATAAAGATAAATTATTCATACTGGTTTTGATTAGATTGTTAGCATAAAGTGAGAAGAGTTCTCTTCCAGCAGCATTTTGTGCAGCTTTCCTCCTTGTTCCCACCTTTCGTCTCGTGTTCAGCCCTTCAGGAGCTGGTCACAAGAAAGAACGTATGAAAGCTCCAGAGCAGCATTATCTGGAGAGGGGCTGGATTTTGCATTCTTTACAAAGAAATCCTTTTAATGGGAAGGGTTATGTTGGCTTTTTTTGTGTAGCCAGTTAATGAGTCTGACCTGCATCCTTTTGGATCCTAATAACAACTTTTTAACATAGCCCTCTCATTTCAGTTTGATGTGTCTGTGCTGGATTTTTAGTGAAGTTACCTGAAGACAGGTAACTGGGGACATTGTCTTACTATTAACTAGAATTTCTGGATTTCATTTCATATGCTATTTGTAACTTTTGAACAAAAGATTTAAGACTGAGTTCTTTCCTGTGTTGCTAAACACACACAAGTATGCTCCATGGCAAATCTGGAGTTCACCATCTTTTCCTATTACTTTCATGTATGTCTGCTTTTCTTGATGTTGGCCCTAGTCAGATTCTACTAGAAAGCGAAAAAAGCTGATTTGCTTTTGGGTTCCCTGTTAAAGACCAACAACTTGAAGGTGTAATGAATAATGACTTGACTGAACCAGCATTGTTTTAAGAAAAACTAAGCAACTTTACAATGTCCCTATACGCTTTTATTTATACTCTTTAAAAGATGCTAGGGAAAATGAGGAGTGGTGAAGTGTCTTTTGCTTGTATCTGGACCACGTGTATGAAGTGTTTGGATAATTGGCTCATGTATGAGTAGTCTAAGTGGGTTTTCTTTGCTGGGGGATTGGAGGTTTAAAGGCTTATCTTGCACAGCTGAGAAATGACCAAAGACACCCTGGAGGGCTCACTGGTGGTAACTGAGCTTTCTTTGCTGTTGACATTTAAATATATGCTGCTGGGAGCAAAACTGTTGATTCTGTTTAGGTTACTTTACACCAGTCCTTGCATTTTGATGGCTCCCTCTTTTAGCTCCCATTTGTTTCTGAGAGGAAGAGGAGGGGTGGGATGTCAGCTCCCAGCTCATACCTTGCTGCTCCTTACTCAAACAAGATGAGTCACATCCACGCCAAGCCCAATGCCACATCACTAGTGGTGACTCTCTGCGGATTAAATGTGTCACTTCTGAATAAGGAGTTCCTGAATACTGTTTGTGTGGATTAGGTACCAGCTGCACTTATAAAAGAATTCAGACAGGTGCTATGAATAGACTTTCCTTTAGAATATCAAAAAGTTTGTTTCAGATGATTAGAAAAGCCACTGCTCGTGTTCTGTAACCTGTCACATCCCCAAAGCCATCAGCAACACAGACACATTACTTGTAAATTGGATTGCTGAGTCTGCTGTGGCAGAAATAACAGCAAGTGTTGCAATGCAAGGAGAGAAAAGTTTGGAAATGGTTTTAAAATCCAAATATTTTTGGTTGCTGGCTTATGCTGGAGTGCTGCACCTGTGCTGTTCTCTTTGTTAGTACAGATAAGCAGTGCTACCAAAGTGGCCAGTATTAACAGTGATGAAGAGAGCTTGTGATAAGAGCCCCAGAGACCTGCTTAGCTTGGGTGCTCTACTGGGGCCAGAACTCCTGGGAAGAGGCAGACATGGGCGTGAGATGGTAACTCACAGCAGCACAAAAGATAGTGACATAAGAGATGGATGGCAAGGTTGCGGGAAAGGCAGTGATAAAAACAAAATGCGGTAATAGTGAGACCTGTCTAAGGAAATGTAGGACACTGTTGTCCTGACCTCATTGTCCACAGACACTCTTCTTCAGGTGGTGCATCTCCTCTTTTCCCCCAGGTAGATGCTATGATCCCCTTGTTCCCTATCCCCAGCCCTACCTTCTCTGAGACTCGCTTTTCTGAATGGTAGGACTGTAATAGTGTATTCTTCCTTCAGGCTATGACTTCTGCCAAGTTCTCCAGTGGTTTGCTGAGAGGGTTGACCGCATCATCCTCCTTTTTGATGCCCACAAGCTGGATATATCTGATGAGTTTTCAGAGGCTATTAAGTCATTCCGGGGCCAGGATGACAAGATTCGAGTGGTGCTTAATAAGGCTGACCAAGTGGACACGCAGCAGCTGATGAGGGTCTACGGTGCGCTGATGTGGTCCCTGGGAAAGGTGATCAACACTCCAGAGGTGCTGCGGGTCTACATTGGCTCCTTCTGGGCCCATCCTCTCCGAAACACAGAGAATCGAAGACTCTTTGAAGCCGAGGCACAGGATCTTTTCAAGGATATCCAGAGCCTGCCGCAGAAGGCTGCTGTGCGGAAACTCAATGATCTCATTAAGAGGGCAAGACTTGCAAAGGTAAGAAAAGATAAAAAACCTAAATTAATTGAATGAGCAGTCTCTTCTGTCTCTTTCAGTGTGTCCTTTCTCACGCTTCCCAATCTTTCTCTACCTATAAACGCACCTATAAACTGTGTGTTTTTCAGCAAATGGATTGAATTGTCAGTTTTTCAAGGAAGAGGTAACCACTCAGGATATAGAAGCAAGTAGGAGGAAATTGAGACTTGTGCTGGCATGCCTCCCTAACTTTAGAAAAGGGATTTGATGCTTTTTAGGCCATTAAAGCTGCTATTTGCTTGGTAGGGGAGTGAATTTTTTTTTTACACTCTGCAGCAAGGTAGTCTTAGTGTTACTTTTCTTTTTTTTTTTTTTTTTAAAACAATAGCTGGTACGTAGAGAACACTTGGGGGGAAAAAAAAAAAGGGGAGTGGGGGCAGCAAAAAAACACAACCAAAACTATTCACATGCAACCTTCTGTATGCTTTTTTTGCATATTAATGCCTTAATGCATACTGTCAATCAGCTGCTGTGGAAAAATGCTTTGACTAAATGCATTTAAGTTATACCCTGGAAATAAGACTGATTAAAAGCCTCACTCTTGGTGAAGCACTGATGAATTGGAGAGGTGCTTGTGCATTAGATTGAAACTCTTGAGCCTCTCGGATTATACCTTCTTCATTCCCAGTCACAGAGACACTTAGGCAATACAGACTTCGTGTCATCATATCCAGAAAAACCCATCTCTCGTTATCCAGGAACATGAGTTTTGCGCCCCACTGTAGGTAACCCCTGTCACTGTTCCCCTTGTTTTCGGCTCTGGAGGAGTACGTGCATTGTGCACAACTTACGGTCACTAACTAGTGTGCGTGGGCAGGCTGTGTGCGATTGGAAAAGAAGGAGAACTAACCTCAGAAATACCTGGGGAGAAAGCTGGTGGTACCAGACAGAAATTCTAATTTCCAATGCAGTTATCAAACAGAATGTGAGGTGAGGTCATGCAGTTGTCTTGGAACACATTTTCATGTGGACTTCTAAGCAAAAATGAAGAGGACTTGCACTTACATTGATACAAGAATAGTCGTGTGGGGATAGTATACCACTTCCTATGTTGGCTTAATTAACTCTCTGAATATAATGATACGCTTAAAGTTTTTTTTTTTTGTGGCCTGAGCTTTAGGGCACCCTGTAGCAGTTGCTTCTTTGAAAATTCCATTTAAAATAACATTCCTGATGATGTTGTGTTAAAAGTTGCTATGATCTCGATCTGTTTTGTGGATGTTGTTGGCAGGTTTTTGCTTTCATTTGTTACAATTGTTTTCGAAGTGGAAAAGTGTCAGATGGATCATCTTTAGGTGTAATGTAAAATAAAAATGGATAAAGGTGAATACAAAATACAGTGCTCGTAGGGCATGCTAATTAGACAGCTATGGAATGGGAATAAACTGTTTGTCTGCAGGAAAGCAACAATGTAATCTTTCCAGTGTTGTCTTTCTATTTTCCAAACTGAACTTAAAGTACTGACACTGAAAAGTCTTTTTTTTTACAGCATTGCATGGTGGTTTTTTGGCCTATTTCTATGCCACTCTGTTCTTAATCTCTTCTAAAACATGTACAGTAACCAAAACCAAAAGCAAAGTTAACTTGCTGTCAAATTTGGACATTGGGCTTTTCTCTCTCTTTTTTTTTTAAGTCCTGTGACTCACCATCCCATTTTGAAGATGGGAACTGTTTTTATCTACAAGAAACACATGTGCATACCGGCAGACCTTAAACCACTTAGCATACACATATGATACCGTTAGTGCTTATGAATTATAAACATACTTTTGTGGCTTTGCTAGAAGTAGTATTTTAAACATAAGACCCATAAAATTACTTACAATTATTTATAAACTCTCTTAGAAATATCCTCGTTGAATCAGTTCTGTCATTCTGGAGAAATACTCATATCTACCCTTCTAGAAAATTTCATGGTTTTATGCAGAAACCCTGCTTATTTATGCTGTTTACTTTTTCTCCTCTATAGAAATTTAAATTTATCTGCAATTAAAATGCATGCACTCTTTTTAGATATGGGGAAGTGATGTTGTGTGAAAGTTGTGATCTTAAGACGTGCAAATAAAAACTGGTTACGCCATTTTTCTTTAAAAACAAAGAGATTTTTTTTTTCCAATTTCCAGTAAGCCTCCTAAATAAGTAAGGAAAGGAATTGGAGAGCACTTCCCCTGTACAGATTGTGTAAGGTTTGTGCAGAATACTACAAGGCACGTTCTGTCATGTTTTGGTAGGTATTAAGTATTATACTTACACCACATCTACATAATCACTTTTTTCTACTGATGCTCTTTTGTGGTAGACTGTCTTCCCCCAGTCTTCAAAATTTCAGCTTTTTACTACTCGGTGGTTTGCTAGACATTCTTATTTTTTTAATTTTTTTTTTCTGTGTGTGTGAAAATTATAAGTAACTTCTGTTTTGGGAACAGCTGCATCCTTTTTTAATGAAGAAGGATCTGAGTTCTGTAAAGATTTGTCCTGTTGTGGAGGTCATTTGACTTCAGCTGTCCTGGCCGGGTCAGAGCTTAGGAAAGCAGTTTGATTACGTCAAGTTGTGATAAATGTGCATTGCTTCTAAAAGAAGGCTGTCCTTGCGCTTCTCTCTCGTGTGCAAAACGAGTGTCAGTGTCCACACAACAAACTGGATAAGTGAACTCACCTCAGTTAAGTGCACCCACCATTTCTGTCCTGGACCAGATCACTCGCTGTGTGGCCAAGCAGATCCTTTTGGTGGTGAAAGGTGGTGGGAGGGTGGTAAAGGGGAAGAGATGAATGGTTCAGCGTTAAGTGTGGAAGGAGGGTGCATGGGCAGGATGGATGTTTTGATGGCAGCGCTGGATTATCTTGATCACGGCAGATGGGAAACTCTAAGAGCTCTGCAAGTATCTATGTGTTCTAGGACTTGTCATCCTAAATTAATGTCTTGCCTTATATGCTGGAAAGGCTCTATTTTTCTCCCTAAGGCTTCGCAAGGCAGCCATGGCATGGTGTTCTTATAGTATCCTGACTGTTCTGTCATCCTCTGGTGGCTGCATAATAGACTCACTTTTTTGGGAGTAAATAAGTAGGAATGCAGTGTCACTTCAATTAGATAGCCCTGCCACTTAGCATACTTGGATGACTTGAGGCATTATCACATTGCTTCCCATAATAATTGGCGAGGCAAATGGAATTACAAATCTCTACCGCTGAGACAGATGGACCAGTATGGCTGGCGCTCTCTGTATGATCCATGCATGTAGTGTCAGGACATGGTTTTGGGGCCTTGCTTTTTCTCTCACTGTTGGTACTGATAGAATGCTGTACCATGCTTCTTAAACTGCAAGTGTGTATCCGTATTTCCTTTAAATGTGTTTGCTTTCTCTCTGCCCCTCAAAGGAATGCTGAAAGCAGCAAAAGCTAGTTGATAGCTGTTCATGTAAACATGAAGTTCCAAAACCAATCGTTAATAATATCTTATCCTTGAGCTGACTTAAGGAAACATATTTCTGTTTCTTTTTATGACCTGGATGATGAACACTAGTATTAAGTAGATAAGTAGTCTTGATTTCAGTTTTGCTTCTTCTTAGGTTCATGCTTATATCATCAGCTATCTGAAAAAAGAAATGCCCTCTGTATTTGGAAAAGAGAACAAGAAGAAGGAACTGATCAGCAGATTACCAGAGATCTACATCCAGCTGCAAAGGGAATACCATATCTCAGCAGGGGACTTCCCCGAAGTCAAAAAAATGCAGGTAAGATGATTACAGTTCCACTGAAATAATACTAACTTTCCAACAGGATTGCTGAATTGGAAAAGGTAGGACAGACTATCTCAGCATTATAGTTTAGGGTCTTCAGCAATAGAGCAGCTGAAGTGACAATCAATCATGTGCCTGTTATGGGGTTAGCATGACTTGGAAGCAGTGCAGAACAAAAAAAATTGGTAACATGTTTAGTGTGCATCCACTGATACAGGACTATAGAAATTGCGATAAGGAATCAGACCTTCTGTCCTTTTAGTCAATATTTGGTCCCCCATGGCAGATAGTACTAAAGGTTTTGTGCAAATAAAATGGCAGTGGACACTTACGGGTTAAGCTGGTTCTTGTTTTGTGTCCTAAATGTGGGTATTTATATCGCTTTTGTAATGCTATCATATACTTGTGTAGGTGAAGATAACCTTAGTCACCTATTACTCATTTTTACCCTACTCTGTTCTTGCTCTTACTGATACTGCTTTCCAGTGAATAATAAAGGCAATGTGTTACCTGAAAAGTCCAACTTAAAACCTATCTCTTCTGAAAATGGTGCCTTTCAGTTTTTTGCTGTCCTTTTGAGCTTGTATTCTATGAAGAAGAGAGAGAAGTTCTCAATTTGCACTCTTATTGTTAATTTTAAAATATCTTTTGTCTCTTGTTCCTCTTTTGAATTTTATGCAATCTTGCTACCAACTTTCTGTCACTTTCTCAGCTTTTTGTTTCTGTTCTCTGATTTGAGGTGAGTTGTTTGGACAGTATCCTAGGGGAGAACAGCTAATGTTGTGTTAGCAATGCTTTTCAATTTATTTCTCAAGCCTCAATTTGCAACTTTTGGATCTCGGATCATAGGCTTCTTAAATAGCCTTTGAATTAGAAGATAATTCAGCTTGGAAGCTGAAGAACATGAGATCAGGAACCTGCAGTTTGGTCTGACCGTGGGCTAGTCATGAGTGTGATGGAGGATGTTTTCCAGATTGACACTTGTGTTATCATTCTGACAATTTATGTGGTACACTTACACTGCTAATCATAAAGACTGATGACTGTCTGATTAACCTATCTATAGGGATGCACAAGTTTCTTTTATGAACTAAAATACTTAACTTGGGAATCAATTACTGGCATGAGACAGTAAATTATAGATGAAGCACAAGATCTATTTCAGCTAGGTTTTCACAGGCAGGATTGTTGGAAAGGTTTCATGAGTTAGGCTTTAAAAGGGGGTTGTGTGGAAAAAGCTGACTCTTTCTTCCCTTGCCACTTTTTTTGGTGGTGCGAAATGAGAGAATGAGAGGTGATCACTTCTCAGTTTGAATATTGAAACAAAATTTGAATGGAACTTTACCAAACTAATAGCATGTTGCTAAGCCTCAGCAGCAGATGGCAGCAAATATATACATGAGAGATCAGTCACTTCTGTAATAAGGAACAAAATTGTGAGAAAACAAAATTGTGCCAAAACAGGTAGCAGGTTTGACCTTTGCTTTCTAAGATTTATTGCATGTCATAAATTTATACTGATCAGTTGCCGTAAATCAGGTGATCATGTATAAATGTCACCTGAACAGAGTGATGGTTGTTGGTTGGCGGTTTTCCTCTAAGAAATCCAAAGTTCTGTGTGCATGGACAAAGTCACTTGCCTGTGCTTCAGGTTTCTTGGGTGCATATCATTATAGTTCTGATATGTATGGGAGCAGCTCCCTGAGGTGATAGATGTGATTTGTTAAAGCAGTTTAACACCATTTTGAGAGGGGTTTTGGGGCGGGTGGTTTGGGATTTTTTTAACAGTTTCCACTGTAACTCCCTCTTCCTGGCTAGCATTTTGCATGTAGAAATCATTTAATAATTGCCTAAAGCGTTTTTAATTTTCCAACGCTCTGATATAAAACATACTTGGGCTTTTGCTGGAATAGCACATATCACCTAGTTAAACATCTCGCTGAGGTTAGTGGGAGTTTATGTACAAGATGAGAACTCGGCAGGGACCATATGACTTCATGAGTTCTGGCAGCACTTCTATAAAAACGCTGCTGCTGTTATCCCAATTCAGTTTTTCTTTGTTCGTAAAGGACAGTTCTTTGTGACCTAACCACAAACAAGAAGTTTAATCTCTGAAATCAGATCAGTCCTGCAAACTCTTGGATTTATTTTTAACTTTAAACACTTGCATAAGTGCTAGCAGGACTGAGGACCTACTTGCATGCTTTCTTTGATGTTTGGAAGAAAATCACCAAATGCAAAGTTGTAACATTCATCAACTGACCTGTTTTTATGCATTGCTGTTTTGAAAATTGTATTGTAAATGTAATTTAATAGATAAGCTCATACACTGTTGGAAAATTGTCTGAGTGTGTTTGATCAATATATTGAGTGTAATGTGCATATGTGTCAGCTTTGCTTCTCCTTCAAGAGGAGTTTGTTATGGAAACTGCTTCAAAAGATAACAGATTATTTTAACTTGAAGTCCATTCTGTAACCTCTTCAATGTATTGGAAATGTTTCTAATTACTGTTACTGAAACCTTTGTCATTGACAGGAGCTGTTGGAGACTTGTGACTTCACTAAATTTCATTCTTTGAAACCAAAGCTAATTGAAGCTGTGGATAACATGCTGGCCAACAAAATTGCCTCCCTGATGAGCCTGATCAGACAGGAAGAGAGCAATATGCCCACAGAGATCGTACATGGTGGAGCATTTGATGGCACCATGGCAGGACCTTTTGGCCACGGATATGGAGAAGGTGCTAAGGAAGGAGCTGATGAAGACGAATGGGTTGTTGCCAAAGATAAACCTGCTTATGATGAGATTTTCTATACTCTGTCACCAATCAATGGCAAAATATCTGGGATTAGTGCAAAGAAGGAGATGGTGACTTCTAAACTACCCAACAGTGTCTTGGGGAAGATCTGGAAACTTGCAGACTGTGATGGCGATGGGATGTTGGATGATGAGGAGTTTGCATTAGCAAAACATCTCATCAAGATTAAACTGGATGGATATGAACTGCCTGGCACACTACCTCCCCACCTGGTGCCACCATCTCACAGGAAACCTTTGCAGACAGCAGAGTGAAAAATAAAAGGAGAGGAATGAGGATTTTGAAAATCTTTCACCAAACGTGTTGAAACCACCAAAATTTGAAATTGGGCTTAGATCCTTAAACCTCACAGCACATTTCACGCAAGTTACTGAAATTAGAAGCATGGTAGCAGGGAAACATTTGTGTAGCTGTCCCTGCTGACCTTCACTCAGACATGCTTATCACAAGTGCCTTGTGTAGATCTATCATAAGGTGAAAATGTTTTTGTAGTCCTGCTTCCACGTCTTGCTGCCTTTACAACCGTAAAGCAGAAAAGACCATGTATAAAAAATCACTGACCTCTACCAAACCTAAATACTTATCAACCATAAGTTTCTCCAAACTATTTAAAATAGTGCAAGGAAGCTCTAAATGTTAAATTCACCTGCCTGTAAAGGAACGTTTTCTATGCTAAAAACATGCTTTAGGCATCGAGTGAACGTCAGCATCTCTATAGTTTAAGAAAAGGCCGATAAAAAAGGAAATCTTATTTTTGTTCTTTTTATTATTTAACAGGGGGTTAGAAAAAGAGAGAAGAGTAAGGGGGAGAGTCTTTTAAGTGCTCAGAATATGAGCAGCCTTGTTTTAAAACTTTACTGATTATAGCTAGAACTACAAAATATTAAAATGATTCTTTCAATCTGTCATCATTGTGTCTTGTTATCTGAAGAATTGCTTCTTCAGTTTTATACAGCACTGTATACTCAGTATTATCATTAGAAGAACTGAATCTCCTTTGTTCCTTGGATTTGGAATTTCTTTTGAGGTTTCAGTTTCCATTGAAATCAAGCCTCACTTTCTGTTCAGAAAACATGCATTGCTCAGAGTCAGCCTCTTCAAAGCACATCAAATTGTCTTGCGATGTTTTCACTGGTATTTAATTTTTATTTACAGGTAATTATACAGTTATCTCTGATATTTTTTTATATATAATATTTTTAAGAAAAGTTTTTAACTCTTTCTTTTGCCAACATGTAGCTGACAACCACAAAAGAGATTCGATTCCTGTGGTGGCAGATTTGAAAGATAGGGAAGCTAACAGGAATCTTCACACTGACCATAGTAAATGATAGACTGGTCCCTCCAGATATTATTCCTTTATTGAAAACAATCTGTGAAAGGAATGGATGCTTAATAAACATTAATTTTTCTAACAACACAATCGAAGTCAAAGATATCGGCTCTTACATCTGATTTTTATCAGTACCTTAGAAGTGCAAATTTTTGGCCCTGTGAACTTGAGTCTTTTAGGGAGGGCCAATTCTTTTCTAAAAACAAACTTGGCAGTCAGTTTTGCTCTATGCATGTGAGCAGAATTCCATTTATAGTATGAAATACCCTACACATCAAAGGTACTGTAGTTTTGAGCACTTTCTCTTTGAGTCTCAGTAGCAGCAGTGTCTTCTGAGACAGAGCAAGCCAAAAAGTGTTTTAGCATCCTTGCAGTAGGGGTGGGGAGGGAAGTAGTTTGGGTATTGTCTCCCAGTTAAGATTTTAGTCACACTTACGTGTTCAGATTTGTAGGTGACCTAAGAAGAGCCTCAGCTTCTTTTTTCAAATCGTACATTTTTAGGTTGTCAGTCAGATTTAATACTTCAGATCTTTCTGGACCTCTTATCTTTCTGCATCTGTTCTATTTTCATGTGAAATTACCGTGAACTTTGCCAGGGCTCTACCATGGGAAAACAATGAAGCTATTTTAAGTAATGACAGAAGAACACCTTTACCTTGCCAGGCTTCCGGGCTTGTATCAAGGATATCCTGGCATAGTTAAATTGTTCTGGAGGACTTGCTTGCTTTTTATTTTTTTAATTCTTAGGTTTTTCTCTTATCATTCAAGCATACCAACTTTATTTCTGTTAGACCTAAATTAGGAGCCAAATTAGCCTTAGGGCATCTCTGTGCACTTCAGTAGAGCTGTGAAACTTGACCATGAGTTTACTTGTGTGACTGTACATCTGCAGAGTAACTGATTTTCTATGTAATTTATTTTTGATTGAACAAAAAGTAGCCTATAGACATTGCAGGAGTTGTTTAAAAAAAACAGGCAGCAGAAGTAGTAATGTATGCTTGTTTGTGTGTGGTGTCTGCAGTCAGTAACAAATTCATACACTAATGACCAACCTGACTAGCTTAGTAAGGAAAGCCATGTATTGTGACTACTGTAGTGTGGGCAAAGCTGAGAGGATCTGGGAAGTTGCTGATCTTCTGACTCTGTCTGCCTTACCTTGCTCTTCAGCAGCACAGGGTTCCAGGGGTGGACCCATGTTTGAGTTCCCACCGAGTGTAGCTTCCAGGGGTGATGCTCCAAATGCATTGGAGCCATGTGATCCCATGCCAGTAGAAATATCCTCCTTCAGTGAGAGGAGCAGGATAGTTTCTCAGTGATTTTATTTTATTTTTCTAGCTTTACTGGTAGTAAAATGGAGAACACAGCCTTTTCTTCAGTCCCTATGACAGTGTGCTAACTTGGGCTTAGGGGAGACAAACTGAAATGCATCATTTTGATAAGTTAAAATATTTTGTCTAGATGGGGTTGAAATGTTTTGCTTTGTTTTCCTGTAGAATTTGGAAGGGGAATGCACAAAGCATGTATGGGAGTAGAGGTTGATTCTTCTCTGTTTAGAATTGTTTCAGGATCAGCATGCAGGAGCTATGTGCATAGATGTATCTCTAGATATATGGTGCAGTGCACTAGCATCGTACTTAGTTGGTAGGAATAAAGTACGTTTCATGTGGACTTTGAACAGCAGTTTCTTGCACAGCTAAACTGGTACAGTAGATTGCTGTTGCTCAGGGGAAGGGATCTCTTTCCTCACTACCTTCTCGCAGACCCGTGGGCCTACTCCATTTGCCTTGCTGGCTCTCTGGCTTGTCAGATCCTGCAAGCCCATTCAGTTCGTTAAACCAGCCACACGCAACAGTTTAGATAATGTTCTGAGGAGTTAGTGAGTGTGTGTGTTAGGAGCACGAGAAGTGAGCAGGATTACCTTCTCTCATGAAATTGTGCTCTAGGTAGTTATTTGGAACAGCAGTATGAGGTAACCTTTGGTGTTTGGTTTGATGTTACTAGTATCTGCTGAAGAAAGACTAAGATGTTGGATTTGTTGGCCATTTTATGCCTAGGATTTTGATTACATTGCAAGACCATTCAAAGCTGTCAGTAATTCGTCCTGTGAAATCAGTGCCCACTGGTGTAATCTGCTGCCATAAACCAAAGTAGAGACTGCTGCTTTTACCTCTTCTCCAACTATTCCACAACACAGTTTTAATTCCCAACCCTAATTCTGTTCCCACAGAAATTAATTAGAATTTTGCTGTAGACTGGAATAGAAAATGTGAGGCTACTGCTCATAACCACACTACAGGACAGCAAGAGCCTTCTAAAGCTGTGACAGCTTGAAAATGGTGAGTTTATAAAGACTTTCAGGTCAGGGTGAGGTCCCAGTTGTTAGTTGGGGATGGTATGGATTTGTGTCGAACCTGGTCCCAAAGCAGTAGTATCTGGTCCGTGACTTTCAACATCATTCATCCCCAGTACTTGAAATGTGCCCACTTTTTCTTCTCACTTCCTTCCCTTCACAATGTGCACTCACTTTGGTGGCTCTTTATATTGTTGGAATTCAGAGTTTGAAGTGTATGGTTTGATGGGTATGTGTAACTTAGCACTGAGAGAATGAACATGAACTTTGTTTTCTACTTCACATGCTCACCTTTTCTAATATTTTTGTTAAATACTGTGTTTTCACTTGAAAGGCACTCTAATTTTTGAGGGAAGGCTTGATCTGTGCAGTGTGCTTCAGTTTGTCCAACTACACAAACAAAGTTTTAAGTTCATTATTGTTGCACTTTTATTACACAATAAATTCCTTGCAGATACTGTAATATATTTTAATATGCTTTGTAATCATTTTTAGAAAGTGGTGATAAAAATTGTTGATTTAATAAACTAATATTGAACTACCTGAGATTTTCTTTTGTAAGCTTCTTTCTGGAAGGTAATCTTTCAGTGACTAGAATTTTGTAATCCTGCTACTTAAGGCTCATAGGGATAGGAGCTATTTGGCAAGCTGCTTATTTTCCCACCTCGGTTTATGTATCCATAATAGGTTATGGCTATTTCTCTTCTGTGTCCCTGAGCTTGTTGCTGAAATTACTGCACATGCCAAGGCTTAAGTCCAGAATTAAATTTATATTTAAAAAGGAAAAAAAAAAACCTTCAGCACCTCTCCATAATTAGCTTTTTATAACAGAATGTAATTTTGGAGTTTCTTAACGTCTAAGCATGGAAATTTCTTAAAGTCCAAGTGTGGAAGATAAATCAAAAACTTCCTGTGTGGATTGAAAGCTTGAAACTTGAGCTGAGAGGCACTTCTTTTAACTTCAGCGGGGGTACTAACCTTGAACAGTAAGAGTAGATTAAATAGCAGTTTAGCAAAAAGTATTTTGTTGATATGTTTGTCCCAAAAAATCCAAGGGCATCTTTCACACTGTGCTACCTACTTGTTATAAATAACCAATTATATCAATAGAACATTCATATTAATGTTGTGCTTACATTAAATTCTCCTGCCCGCCTCCTTCTGTATACACACAACTTACTTGAAGCATCTCCAAAGATACATCTGTGCCACCAGGATGCTACCGTTCAGCTATTGCTCCTCCTACTAGCAAATCTAAGTTGCTGCAGAGTTAAGGGGGTTTGTATGTAGCGGTGTTAGCAAGCTCGGCTGTTACACTCATGGTGGCCATGCCGCATGTCACATGAAAGCAAGTGCTTCACGTGCAAACAATATGCTGTGGGTTCCTGGAGGCTATGCTGCTGCTGAATTGCAGTGGCTTGTTCGAACTGTTCCTTATAAAAGTCAGAAATAGTTTGGAGAAGATGAAGTTTTAATGGGGTTTGGAGGTGGGGGTTTGGTTTTCTTAGTAGAATGGAGTTTTACGTACTCCACGTACAAGACATTTCAGACTTTGAAAAATCTGCAGCAGA